TTTTTTTTTTTTTTTAAAATCACAGAAGTAGGCTGCTTTCATTAGATGCAATCAGTCACTCCTAGAGAGAGAGGTGTCCACTCTACTTACTGATTTGGGGTCCCAGGGGGAGAACGCGACGGCAGGCTCTGGGTTTCTAACCTGTCATCAGACAGCGAGTTCCTGCTCACTACTTCCCAGTCCATCCCACTCATTAGTTTCCGTGACAAGGGTTTACTGGGGGATCTAGAAGAAGAAAGTGAAACGACTGACCAAAAGTTATATGAGGTAAGAACAAAATAATATAAAATTCACCACAGGAAACTGGATGCTCTATCGTAGGAATCCAAACGACATGGAAGAAAGTAAACGTATATAACGCAAAACTAGGTGTACACGGACAGTATTTTCTCAGTGTATCATACTCTTTCTGGACTTTGCACAGCAGCATCAATCCCTCTGCTGTTGTAATATTATTTGTCCATTCTGTTATTCATGTTAATCAGCCAGTATGGATAACTTCGGTGGATAGTATTTGATGACTGCTGGCTGGGAAGGAGACAGGGAAGATGGAAAAAGACACTCTTAAATTTCATTAGCCATTTCTCATGCCTTAAAGGGAGAATCTGAGTCAAAGAGAATATTCATCAAGAGGTTTGAATTTAAAAATGAAAAAAGGTTCAAGTAATAGAACTATTCAGTCATCTCAGGATTAACAGATGAATAAAACAGTGGAAACATCGGTCCAAAACACTGCAGAATAACCTGGAGAACTCAAAGGAGGGTAACCGTCACCATAGCAAGGGAGCTACGGTTTTGTTCCCTCAGGGACTTTAACCGGGGTGACATGCTTTCTTCCAGTACATATTTTGACTCCAACAAGGCAGATGATTACATCCTATTTAAACTTCCTCCTGGACAACTTCCAGACTTCATTTGATTTTGTGCCAATGTCCTTCAGGTTAAAGGTGGGTATCCCCATGATTTTATATGAAAGGATTATTTTCTGTTCACTGTCTTTTTTCAGTACTGAGGAAACTCTTTCTTCCCGTTCTCCAGTCATCCCAGGATACCTACTCTTCTCTTCTGCTGTTTTTTCCCCCCTCATTTTTCTTGAGCAGAGATGAGATTATATTCATAATTTCTCATGAAATAGCATGTTTCCCTTTCATACCGTGACTTCTCAAATGATGCATCCAAGAATCGTGGTTGCCTTTTTCCTCCTAGCATCACACAGGATGACTCAGCCATCTTGTGACTAAACATATCCAGATCTTTGCTGGATACAACAACAAAAATTCCTGTTAACAATATGTCCTTGCATTTTGCCTAAGTGAGTTTTTACTTCTACTGCTCTGATGGCTCCCATATATTTCACTTTCTCCTGTATCATTACCCAATCCTCTTTTGCTCCAGTGATACCTCAGTTTCATCAGTAGCCTCTAACTTTGCGCAATAAGGTGATAACGTATTTCTGTATCGGCTCTCTCCTCCACTGCTTTCCCCAGTTCCATAAATGCGTATCACAAAACAACTTCTGCATTTTCTGTCGTGCAAGTGCATGGTAGCTCTTCTTTATCGTGCCATTACTACCTTACAGATTTACCGAGTCCAGAAAAAAGCAGTTTTGTGTGTCAGCGGTTCCTTAATTTCTCAAAGTACACCCTTCTGAAAGTGAGAACCATGCTCACATACGCGTGAGCTTCTCACGGAATTTGAATCCAACACGAGCCCACAGCATACCACCTTAAGGGGTAGACTGCCCTCAACGTTACCCAAAAAGTCTAAAATAATAACCAAATGTCATACTGAATAATCTTTCTCCACATGCAGGAACATTTATGGGTGGTTAATACAGCATTTGTTCAATGCTAAAGGAGTGGTGTGGGTTTTTTGAGGGCGGAGGGGTTGTTAGTTTTCCTTATCGCTGCTGTTACTGTTGGTTTTTTACTCCCGTGCAGTTTTGAACATGCATTGCACAGTTTCGCTATTCTATTTTGCTATACCGAACAACAGCTTACAGAAATTTCAGATGAGATAGGCCTTACGCCAGCTGAAAAATTCTGAGAGTATATTGATACTCTGAAATGGGCAAAATATTATCAATTGCTCATCTCCTGAGGAATAAGACATACAGGATCCTTGCTTACATTACTGTAGTTAAACAGTTTTAGTTTAATTCAAAAACACTTAGTTTAACTCGCGTGATATCAAGCTAACATTTGAATTTGTTTAATTTGCTTCCACTGTGAGCAACTCAACTTTTGAGATTTTTCTTCGCATCGGTAGCATGTTTGAATAGCTCTGAAGAAGTAAAATTACAAGAAATCAGCAAAAGGGAAATACAGCATGTCTAATATTTCATCTGTTCATTACTCTTCTATTAATCAAAGGTTATCATTAGCTGGACTTTGCTGACAGTACGCTTGCAGCCAGCAGAAGAGCATCAAGAGACAGCTCTACCAAGAGGTAGATTCTACTGCCAAACGACTACGTAACGGGAAAAGGCTGAAGAACAAAATACATTATTAGCTAAACACAGGAACGAAGATAAAGTATTTTCTAGCAGACATGTAAAGGCAGCTAAGGAATTTTACTCGCCTTCGCTGAAAAATAAGTGGACTATGTGAAAGATTTTCTTTTAAATTGCAAAAGAACAGTAACAAAAAAGGCACTACTCTTGCTTGTATAAAACAGAAACTAAATTGTGAAGAGATGCAAAAGACTAGGAGGAGGTAAAAAGTAAGTTTTTCCAAAATGACATTTTGACCTCTTCAAAGCCCCCCACCCCATTGTCTTAAGCTATAATTTGTAACTACTCAGTTTTGAAAGACTTCCTCAATCCGTGCAACAAATAAGCACAACTTCAAAATGAGAAAATCATCATTTTTCCCTACCAAAAAAGCTCAATGTTAAGAAAACTCACCTTACTTACTGTGGATAGGGTTTAATCTTTTGAAAACTATACTTCACCGCCATCACAAGCAGCTGCCGCACTTATCAGCAAAGGTTAGTTTCAATTATTTTATTAACAGTTCTAACCTCAGAGTCCCACCCACTCGTGTTTGCTGCTTCCACTTCCTGTCTCTGCAGACATTTCAAAGAAAAAATTACCACATTGCTGCACTGAACTTCAGTGCTGTGGCTTTTTGGTACTAGTTCTCATTGCCAACACTTCTGCATCTAACAATATATTATTTTTGATTCACTTTTAACTATATCGTGGGTATTCTTGCAAATTTCTTCTGTACTATTAATTCCTTACACTGCTTTCTCATGACAGAGTGCACCTAAGGAGGGGGGAAGCAAGCTATAAAAACTTTTCAAAGGCTTTGATAAACACTGAAACGTTAAGTTCTGCTCTAGTAGAATTATCAGTCTGGATGCTTTTATTGCACCCCATCACATGGCATTGCTAGCTAAAAGGGAAAACTAATTTAAAATTTAATATTATTGGTGCCTCTGCAGAGAGGCATTCCCCAAAAGGTTGGAAGTAGTCCTGTCTGTCTGAATAGGTACAGACATTGAAAGCCTTAACTGCCCCAAAAATCAAGAAAAGCTATAGTCTTATGTGATATGATATTATGTCAAACAAAACAAAAACATAGCAGAAGGGATGAAATTACATAAAGCACCTAAAAAGCAGCATGAATTGCTAAGCCAGGAATCCCCCAGCTCAGCTAGAGCACACAAAAGCTTTCAAAGACGGAATTTGTTCTGCACCCCGCTGCTGAAGAGCAAAATTCTCACAAGAGTTAGAAAAGAGAGAGGTTTGGGAATACAGGTGGGAACCTTTTCAACCACTTCTATCCCCCAAAAGAAAGCATAACTTGGAGCTTACTTCGTATTTCGACAATCAATATAGGGAATAATTTATTTCTCAGCAAAACGGGAGACTATCGCCTCAGGTGCAGAGACAGACTGAAATTTTAAACAAATGTGCAGATATACCATAAATGACAGATGCAGTTTAAAATAACTGAGGAATGACTGAAGCAATTAGATTGCATTTCTGAAAGTAGAGTTTTAAACTTCATCATATGGAGTTTGGAAATACAAGTAACTGACAGAGATACCTACTCACTGTTATACAATATGACTAAATGACCTTCTCTTAGCTCCAGCAAATACTATCGCAAATGAACAAAGTTAACTCTGAGAACAACACTCCCTATGAAACCTCTCAATTCATGAGTTGACAGAACTTCTTCAGTTTGACTATCTATTGATATTATATTCCCAGGAATTCTTAGAGTTTTCTTGGTTTGTGAATACCCTGCAACAAATGAAGCCAAGTGAAAGACACCTATAAAAAAGATGGAAAAAAACTAAACTGCAGCAGAAGTCTTCTGAACACTTAAGTTAGGGCTGCATGAATAATAAGAAACAGCACCCACAAAAATATTTAACAAAATTATATAGGCTATCTCCTTTACAACAACAGATTCAGATTTTTAAATTAAATGTTTTTATGGCAAAAGAAAAAAAAAATTGAATACTACTTCAGTTGCATTTAAAGTAAGGTCCTGAGGGCCATTAGCTAAACCTGCCAACTGTAGGTTAAAACTGCTTGTTGTATTTAAACGGATGCCAGGAAATTTTATTTCCACATTCTGAGCTCTGGATCTATGTTCTGTTCAGCATCTGAAGGCTAGAAGATCATTACTTGTGACAATTATCATTTCCTACCATTTCTACTTAGAACAAGTAGACTGCTCAAGTAGCATCTCAATGCAAGTATCTATCACTCCCTTAACAACAAAATAATTCAAAAGCTTTGCTTAGACAGTACTAGCTCAGTAAAGCAACTTCTCGTTAGATATGGAGGAGGAAAATAGAGGGTAAATCTGGATAGCTCTAGGGGGAAAAAAAAAGAACTAGAAATAACCCAGGATTTTTTTTTCCCCCCCTGTTAGGACAGTCACTGAACATCAGTGGGAGTTTTCCTGCTAGCCATAATGAATCTTGAATAAATTTTCAGATATGGTAATCATACAAGCAGCAGTAATTATTCCATTTTTTGATGTGGCCTCTTAATTCTCAAGGAAGTCCTGACTGTGATGCTAGCATGTGCCTAGTTTCATAACAAAAGGCAACAAACACCTGAAGAAAAAAAAAAAAAGCCTTTTGAAAGCAGAAGCAACTGAAACAAATCCACAGCTTGACACCCTTAAGAAATTGTTACCCAAAACAATTACTATGTCTGAGAAAAACGTACTTAGAAAGAGAAAGGCAGGTTCCAGGAATAAAACCCACATCATACCAGGAAAACCTTGAAATGCAAACTTTTGCCTCTGCATGAATACAAAAAGACTAACATCTATTCAGTATTACAACTTGTCTACTGCACATTTACATTTCAAGAATTTAAAGATAAAGCTCTTAGATTTTGCTCCTTGGACTATGTGGTAATGTCTCGTGTTTCACTTTTTTCCCATCCTTGAGGATATTAAGAAAAACTTTATAATTCAAAATGCATTAATCATGCACTGTTATGGTGAGGATAGAAGGAAGAACCAGATAACCTACTAAAGGCCTTTCCAGGTGTATTTGTTACGATATACCAGCAAATTCAGTCCACTTTGTCACATATGCATGTATGCACCACAGGTTTATCAGTCATCAACATTACGAAAGAGCTCAAAAGGCAAGTTAGGAAGAATGCTGCATTGCTCTACCTTAAGGCATATAGCAACAACAGGAAATGTAATCACTGAGGACAGTCAAGTCTTATTAAATAAAAAGAAGAAAGCTGAAAAGACTTGAGAAAAAAAAATCAAAGCAGTCATAGCCATGGCTTTCAACTTCCTTCAGAGTATATTTTGCAAAAGACAAATGACTTCAGCACCACTTGTTCAGCTCTGACTCAAAGGGAAGAGTGCCATCTACTGAATAACAGCTTCTAAAACAATGTATATACTTCTCAAAACCAAGGCCCAGCTCTCTTCCTCACTGCCAAGTTCAGAGTGCGGTGAGAAATACACAATTTTAACTAATTTATAATCATCATGTAAATAAATGGTGGAAAATTCAGTTGTCACAGTGCCAGTAGTTGCCTTTTGAATGCTAAAAAAACCCCCCTCCTCTCCCCCCCAAAAAATCAAACTCAGACCCCAAAGTAAATTAAATACAAAGAAAGAAAAAGTCTACAACACACACACAACAAACTAGTATTATAAAATTTACCTGTTAAACAAATATGTCACAGCACTGCCCCCCCCCCCCCAAAAAAAAAAAATCTTTCTTCTATGGAGCTAGGTATCTACGGTGTGTCCAGCTAAAATCCCATGCTATGTTACACAGAGGGAAAAGTGAGGGGTGGTGGTGGTGGGGGGGAAACGGTAGAAAAAAGCAAAAATAGAAGCAGACTTAAGAAATTCTATCTTAAAAAAAGAAAATAAAAGAATGTGGGGTGGGAGGGAACGTGATCAGCATAAATATAACCAAATTAATGATACTGTTGTTTAGCTATTAGATACACTTATTCATTTCTGCCAAGTCTGGCAGACACAGTATCCCATTCCAAAGGAAGTATATATATACAGTTGGAGGCTGCTACCAGAGATGAAACATATCCATTGACTTGTTGTTTTAATAGTACAGTTAAAGAGATCATTCTTTGCAATAAAGAGTTGTATGTACTAGTCCTCACTGTGCTACTAACTACACAGATGGAAGGCAATTCTGATTCTCTTTGAAAATACATAAACGGAGAAAATATGAAGGCATACCCTTATTAATTTCTTTATCATAATATTCTCCCCCACTGCCCTCGAAGAGGCATCCTTAATATGATTAAGGCATGCTGCCAGCAACAGTAGACAAAGGTTGCTTTTTATTTTACATTTTTACAAACAGAAAACAGTGACTCCATAACATCTTAAGATGTACAAACAGAAGACATGCTGAAATCAACTGGCATATCAGAAAACTGCTACTAGCAAATTACTGCTGCCAGTTTGGCAGATGTAGACATTGCCATAATTAAACCCTGTACAAATGTAAATTCCTTACCTTGCAAATACCCTGTCTTTGTTTGCTTTCTCTTTACCATACTGCACAGACTGGACCTCTGTTCTCCCGCTGGAAAACAAAACAAAACCAAACCACTAAACGCAACATACTTAGGATAACAATTTCTCGCTTAAAATTGAACGATCTCAAAAAAAAAAAAATATATATATATTCTGTTTTCAGTCATGTTGAAACTATTGCACTGAATAGTACAGTGCAACTTAAGACAGCATTTGGGTAAGTACTAGAAATATGGGTCTTCTCTCTCATTAGAGCCTGACTGTAACAAAGACTAAGTAATATTAGGTCTAACATAAAGCTTTATATTCTCTTACTTTTTTTCCTACCCAAAGCAAGTATATAAGTTCTGCTTTCACCTTTTGGAAAGCACGCAACGCTATAATCTCCCTTGTCATAACCACTATTAAAAGTAACAGCATTTCCACCGTACTTCTCCTGGGCTAATTCCTGAATTGCCTCCTGCAATTAACACGCACACAAGCAGTATGTTGAGCAAAATTTTTAGGCAACAAAACCATCAGCGTGTCCTGTTCTTCACCATAAGGCAGATAGTTCAGAATAAAAAAAAAATAGTAATAATAATAATTCCTTTAGGGGAAGAAGTGAGGAGCAACAGAAACGGCATATTCTTAGCGTAGGACCTTGGCGGTGATTCAGGTTATTCTTGCTCTAGTCCCAGATCTCACTGCTCCCAAGCTTCTGCTATAGTCGAACTGGCTAAAGAAAAGGCAGAGAACAGCCTTATCCAAACATAACAACCGCTCATCCAAATGCCACAGGAGCCAAATCAGGATATCAATCTGTAAGGATGTGTTTGGTTGATTTTGTTGGGCAGCGCGTCGCTCCTTCAAGAGAAAGCGGCAGACTCTTCTGGGAAAAAGGCAGCAAGTATTTCACTCATGTCAACTGCTGACCCAAGAAGGAAGACTGTTCCCCCCGAGTGAAAAAGGAAGATACTGCCAAACAGCTGCTGTACAGAACGTACCTGAGCGTGTGTTGTCAAAACTGGAACTTTGAAACTGATGGAGCTCCCACACTACCAAAAGCGCATTTGTAGTACACATGAATGACAATGGACATGCTGTTGAAGCTGGGTTAAGTGTCCGATGAAATTACATTGCTCAGCAGCAGTCTCTTAGTGCCAACCCTCATATTACTTGCAATACTGTGATTTTAACTTCAGAGGATTGTGTGACTAATCAGAGAACACTAAACTCGGACCACACTCTCAGCTGTTGCTCTCATTTCTAGCAATTCATTTCTGTATCAGTATTTGGAGGCTGGTTCCTTCAGGTTTGATAAAAACTTTCAAGTTGCTGTTTATTTAAGTAGAGTAGCATTAAGAAATTAGATAAGCACATCAGGATCCTATCAGGGCAAACAGATAAATGATTTTTCTCCCTATATATACTCCAGCAGTCTGCAGCTTAGGAACTTTCCAAGTCATATACTGGATCATGCTTTGATTAGTAGCCATTAAAAGACTTTTTCACTTGTTTTCTACTTGCTTTTAGGAGTTCATTTAGACTTCTACTCTCCACAGCATCCTTTTGCAAAGAATTCCACAGTCTGACTACTGAATGAGTGAATGACTTCTAAAGGCTGCAAAATTGGCCAGCAGTAATCTTGTGAAGTTCACCGAAGGGAAATGCAAAGATTTGCACCTGGGGAAGAATGCATCAGTACAGGCTGGAGGCCCAGTGGCTGGCAAGCACCTTTACTCACCACTGGTGAGACTGCATCTGGAGTGCTGTGTCCAGATCTGGGCTCCCTGGTACAATAGAGACATGGACATACTGGACCGAGTCCAGCGAAAGACCACAAAGATGGTTAAGGGATCGGAGCCTCTGACATACGAGAAGAGGCTGACAGAGCTGAGATTTTGTTCAGCCTGGAGATAAAAAAAAAAAAAAAAAGCTCAGGAGAATCCTATCAACATGTATAAATACTTGATAGGAGGGTGTAAGGAAAATGGAGTCAGACTCTTCTCCGTGGCGCCAACTGAAATACAGCAAATTCTACTTAAATGCAACAGCAAATCATGTCTGGCCATGTTTTTATCTTTCAAAGCTTTATCTAGACAAGCTTTGAAAACCTCCAAAGACAGAGATTCCATAATCTCTCCTGGGTAACTTGTTCCAGTGATGACCCTCCCAGAAAAAACACCTTTCCTAATGTCCAGCTGGAACCTGCCAAGCTGAAATTCATGGCTGTTGCCCCTTTTCATACCCCCTGCCACTAACAGAAAGAAATTGGCTTCATCACTTCTGTAACTGCCCTTGAAATAGCTTTAGGCTGCTACTAAATCCTCCCTTAGCTTCCTTTTTACCCAGCTGAACAAAGCTCAATGCTCTTAACCGCTCCATGAATATCATGTTACCACTACTACGCTGTCTCTGAACAACCTCTCTCAAGACACCCGCAGAAATGCTAGGTTTTTAGCTGCTTCGTTAACCTTAATGACTTTCCTCATTTTTGTAGTTTCCCTTTTTATCTTGCATTAAGCTGAATGCTATCATCAAAGAACTATTCTACAACAGTTACCAGAAGAGATTCAAATTCAAAATCTTTATCCAAATTAAAAAGCTCCCCAAATTCACTACAGTAACATTGAACCAATTCTTGAACACTGAATACCGCAGAATGCTGTTTCTTAAATGGGTGCTGTGAACGCTGGTTAAAGGAACAGATGGTGTAAAGATTTAGTCTTTGAAATACTTTCCTCTTGAAACACTTATTCAGTTCACGAGTGTAACAGAAATAGCCTGTTATTGTGTTTTCTAGCTTTTCATCATCATCTCCCTTTGTATGCCACAGACACTGTTGCCATTCTACACAGATAATCCATAGTAGCTTCATTATTATTTCTCTAATTTAGGAACAATTTAAACCATAGGAATTCTGCAATACTTGCAGAGACAGTTAATTCAGTTACCTTGCTTAACTATGAGCTTTCATTTACAGAAAGCACTTCAAAAATCAACACTAACTACTCTGTCATTACAATACATTCGGGAATCAGTTATTCCACTATCAATCATTCTTTGCATCTCTAAGCTTTTTACCTATTATGTCAAATTCACCCTTAAAAATTGCAGAATTCATTTCACCCTTATTTTCTAAACTTCTGGTTTTGGTGCGAAACATACATGCCTTTTGTCTTAATCTAGTTGTCTGTTTGTATGCATCTAACTTAAATGGACTTTCTTGGACAAGATTCTCCCTGTTGACTCCTATTTGATCTTTCTTTAGGTCTCTTTTGTTGTTGCTGCTGCACGCACGATTTTAACTCCATCAGTTTTCAAAAACACCAGGCCAAAGACTTTGAAGTTCTGAGGCAACATTTTTAAGGTTAACATAACCCAGCAGACACACAGCTCTTTCTCACATACAAAGACATAGTGCCTGTGAGACAATCTCAAAGTATTAGTTTGATAATAATTGCTAATAATACAACAATAATAATTCCAAGATGTTCTAGAAAACTACTGACATTTGAAACTGAAGCCAAGCGGGGAGTGAGACCGTTGCAGGATTCAAAAACTACTTGAAGGTTGGCATGTTTTAATAAAGATACCCAATAAATCTCTATTTTTATTGATGAGTTACCCCTTCTATTACTTTCTTCCCCATGTATTTCAAAGCAGCACTTACCAGTACCGGAACTTTGAACCCAAAGTGAAATAATGTGCAAAAAAGTTCTTCTGAGGCGGCAGCGGTCTGTCCAAACGGAAGAATGTGTGATGTTCAACACAAGCTTTCCACAAATTCTTACATGCTCGATAATTCACCATATTGAATCCCAGTAACGTTTCTCTAGATTCATGCTGAAAGTGAGAAAAATGATTTCAGATAAAAATTATTCCCAGTTACATTGGAAATCAATCCAACATAATTACTGTTGGTTTTATAAAAATTTTCAAGAATTGAAATCAAAATTTTCAAGGCTTTTTAAAATGGTTCTCTAATTTTACATTAACTTTATACATTATAAAAGCTTTTTAAAATAATTCTAAGAGCTGTCTTTAAAGGCAATACTTTCTTATTTTTTTTTTTGTAAATGAAGAGGTTGCTTATAGGTTAACATTGTGTTCAGTGATGTTGAAACAGGTCTAGCTGGGAAGAAAGCAGATGTTCCCAAAAGGCAACATCCAGGCTACATAAAGACATTTCTGTGACTGAAGAACTTGAAGGCAACATGCCTCCCTTTTTGAAGATTTCTGCAGTTGAGATGAGGAATTTAATTTCAGCTGTTTAGAAGAGAAGGGAAAAGGAGTTAGTATGCACACATGACCATTTTAAAGATTGGGAATAGGTATTAATCTCAAGAACAACTGATACACTAACTAAATGATTGATTGAGTTCTTGGTGATGGAGAGACAAGCAAAACTGCAAACAAGATAAGCCAGTTTGCCTGTTGAGGGAGCCTGATTACCACCTTTGTAGGCCAGAAGACATCAGCACTCTGTTTTGTCTTTACAGTACCAAATCCTCCAGGAGTATTGGCACATTTTAATAGTTTTTACTTAGTAGTAAACTCCTTTTCCAAGATAATTCTTTGCTGGCCTGCTCATTTAGATTTGCTGGGGTAGTGGGGCCTGGAACACCTCTCCCAGTGTTGTAGCTGGGCTGTCATTATCGTCAATGGCTAAGGAAGACTGCACTTTCAGTCACATGATGAAATTAAGGTAAAGAACAAATTAGATTTGAAAAGTAAACAGCCAATTCTGAATATCTATTGACAAAACTCAAGAAATTCTAAGAATCTAAAAACTGATGTTTTACTTCAATTTACAGTAATTACATATATATTTCTTCCTGACTTCCATGTATCATCTTCCCATGCATTTTCCATTAAAGTTGTTAACAAAAGAATTTACAAGTCGTGAACCAGATAACAGAAATGAAGTCCATTAGCTGTTCAGTCACAGAAGGCTTTCTCAACCAATAAAAAAAATGTAAGCGTGCTTACTATCATAAACAACCATCTCCTCTTTACATTTCTATCCTACAAGAGAGCAACTATGTGAAGTTATGGACTGCCTCATCTAGAGGCAGCAAAGATTTTAGATTCCAGTGAAAAGATGCAGGACAAGTAACGCTCTGTCAGCCGTTACACAGTTAGAAAGAGAATTTGACAAGTTACATGAGCTGTTGAGCATGCATGTTCATGTCACGCTTAAACCATGATAACTGCGGGCTGGGGTGGAGGGGAAATCCTGCTCTCTACCCTGGTTTATACTTCAGGGAATGAGCTGATCCGACTCTCCTATAACCGTATGATTATCTGATCACTGGTTCAGACTTGAACCATGAAGAAAGAGCTGGTAATGGGTGATGAAAAGGAGCTGCAGCTAGATCAGCCTAATTGTAATGCGAAACAGCACTTTCACAGGAACTTGGTGTGATAGAGCTTTTAAGGTACCTTAACAATAGTTCTATTCATAGCTTTTGAGGCTTTCACTGGCACGTATGCAACGTTGCAAGAGTACTGATTCTCAAAACCTACTCTTAACCTCAATTACAGCCAGGAATCAAACTTTAGGGTAAAGGAGAGTGCAAGATACCGGCTCCTAAGTGAACTAACCCTTTCCTACCACCGTGGGTTCTGCAAAATCCAGATATGAGTTGGGCCCTTGAAACTTACGTTTGCTGGCCATTCTGGGGTGTAAGCCCTGGCTCTACAGCTGACTGGTAGCAGCCCTTAGAGTAGACTGGCCACGTTTCCCCTGAAGAATAGTAGGGCTGGATCAACTTTGGCGTGACATAGAGGCATTTGAGGGTATTAGGTCTGCTGAGACTGTTAAAAGACTGTCTTGGGGAGTCGCAGTTGGAGTCTGCTCTGAAATGACTATGGTTTTAATTGTGTCCATGTTTCCCCTTGGGGAGAGGAAACGAGTTAGCTTGCTTCAGAGGGAGAAGAGTAAAGTAGTAGGAATGCAGCATGGGCGAAAAGAGTCTCAGGGCCTAAGAGTGAAATCACAGATGCGCCAAACAGAAGACATTTTTAAGGTTATATTTCAGGTTAGCTTACATGCTATGTTGCAGGCTACCCACAGACCCCAAGTAAAAAAACTAAAAAGGGGAATGGCAAAGTAAAGTCTAGCTACATTTGTGACTCCTTTTAGTAAGCCCCTCCCCCCCCCCAAAGCAATAAAAATGAAGAAAGGAAACATGGAGAGTGGCATGGCTCTTGCATACAACAGCACAGTCCCTGAGCATTCGCCTTGGGTGGGGACATTCCTCCAAACCCTCCTTTGCCTAATTTGACATAGTGGCTTCAAAGTGGATCTCTCACTTCTTTGGAGAATAACTTCTGGGTTAAAAAGCACACTCTCTAGTGGGTCATTTTCACTTTGTATAAGCAAATAAAAATGCCAGAACGAAACAAAAGTCTACACCCTCCTCTCACACACACTTTACTGACATAGACAAAAGACCCAGGATGGCCCTTCTCGCAAAGGGCAAAGAAAGTCTTTTGGAAGCTCAAGTGCAACACAGATTGTGCCGGCAATATCAAACACTTCATGTAAAAGCCCGGGGCAGAAACTTAGATAGGATTAGGCAACAATCAACTAAGCATCTCATGAATGCCAGTGCTTTTTAAGTTCAAGTACGTATTTGGACAGATAAGCCAAACATCACTTCGTGAATCTAGCCCAGCCTCCTTCTGAGGGACAGCAAGGAGAAAAAAAAAAAAAATCAAAGTGCAAACTTCAGATACATAATCTATAATAAAAACTTTTTTTTTTCCCCCCTTCAAACACACAGAAGCCAGGTCCTGGTCAGGGACAAAAGCATCAATACTGTTTTATTAGGGACTCTGCACATTTTTCCAGTGGATATTTGAGCTCTAAAACAGCAAAGTAACATGCCGAACAGTTTATTTTGCTGTCCAAGAATCGAGACTGCTAAAGTACACTGGACGGCATGAAGAACTTGATGCTAACTATTGACGTTACAACAGCCAAGGGTGCAACTAACTAAAAACAGAGAAGCTTAGAAACAAAAGTACTGAATGAACTAGAACGGTTTCAAAACCCATAAGGAGAGTAGCATACAGAACAGGAGAAAAAGTAAAAATATAGTGGTGCAAAATCCAGTATAGAAAAATAACCACTGAAGTTACGGCTTAGAGGATTTTCCAAGGTTGGCTAAAAAAGTTGTACGGATAATATTCTTTCCCCTCCAAAATCCAAAAAACAAACAATGAAAAGAAAATCAGTTTGGAATACGTGCTCTAGTCACACGATTGACAGAATACACAACCCGCTTCCATTGAAGAACATGCTACGTTACCAGGGAAAATAACTGACTTTGATATCAAAGTGTTTCATCTGACTTCCTTTATACGATTTAAACACAGATATAATCTGTTAAAAGTAGGCAAATAATTCCTCGCTTGTTGATGCCTCTAAGCTAAGCCAAGGCAGGGAATAAACTTAATAGGTGATTAACAGATAAAGTACTTGCACTTCTGAGTACAGTTGCAATTAAAAGCTCTACACACTCATTTGAGGTATCTGAAATATATCTGTTAAGAACTGCTTAAAAACAGTGGGTAAAGCAGTTTGGAAAAAAAGCACTGAAAAGTTCCTCTCCCAATACCACTAACTTAGCATCCTAAAGCACCTCAACTTTGCATCAGAACAGCTATAGTTAACTCAACTGCACTATTTGTTGTAAATTTACATGCAACTTCAAAACTTATTATGAACACATCAAAAATGTATTTTCACTGCCATATCATAAATCAGTACTTTTATTTTCTTTCAATAGCTGTGCAAAGCAGTAGACCAAGGATTTTTTTTCATACCAAAAAAGCAATGGTTGAGCCATTTCACCTGGTTTCTGCTACCTAAAACGAGCCATTAGGTTCTCTGTTTTGTTAAAGAAGGGTGAAAGTAAATGTAAGCATGTGCCACCTCCAGAGAGCAACTTAAGGCATCCTAAAATGTATTTGCAACTCACATAGGATGCTTCACACTTTGCAGGTATCTGTTTACTATAGAGGAAGTCTAATGATTAGTTTTGGCTAGCTAATTATTGTGCAATGAAACAAGTTGTTTTAACCTAACTGAAGCTAAAGTTAGGCGAGATGAATCTTATCCCAGGAGCCTATTAAGGGAATTTAATGCTGGAAATAACAATTTTAAGTATGATTAAAAAAAACAGTTTAAGCACAATGCATTCTTTGGAAGCCAAATTTGAGCTTTCAACTTAAGATATTTACCACTTGGAATGAATGAAAATGAAGGTCTTGCCATCAGTTTTCATCTGATGCACAGAGTTTACACCAAGACAGTAGGAGGCTTTGCAATTTGTTGGCTTAGTTGTCTCAGAAGACCAATGACATTACTTGTATATACACTACAGTCTGGTGCAAGTAACAATATGTAGCATATTAAAAAGGAACAGAAAATACAAGATAAGAAAGCTATTCTATATTGTCTTCAATTATATGCTGGAATGCAGAAAACACTCAAATGCAGAACCTACCCAAATTTTATATCTACCTGTCTCAGTTTTCAAGGCTCTTTTTCGTCAACTCTGCTACTATAACTTTTTCCTCGAGTTCTGTTTTAAAAAACAGTAAGTGGAGTTCAAACTTCTTAATTCCATTTAAATAGCCAAATTCTCATCTCAGATCCAAATACACTATTCTTGTAACTGTAATGGAAATTATACATACTGGTATCAGGACAGAATTTGACCCCTGGGTAGTCAAAGATCAGTTTGCCTTCTATAACTAGCCTGTATCCCCTGCATGATATTAAAAAATATCTGTGTCACCATCATGCAATATTCCCCTCTCAATTTTTGTATTATTTTTTTTTCTCTTACCTGTCTGCTCCTGTTGATAGGAAATCCTGCTTATTTCATGTAATAGCCAAAATTAATTTCTTTCCATACATAACTGCTCCAAAATCCTTGTTTAGTTCTGGCTCCTGCCATTTCACTTCTGAAGTGACAGCTTCTGGCACTGCGCCAAGCACAAGCGCCGAACCTCTCCTGCCAACTGGTCTACAGCTGTAAGTTTCTTCACTTAGGCAGGTAGTTCCAACTGTGAAAATTTCAAACTCCTGGGCCTCATCTTATAGGAGCTGGCTTTTAAGATGCACAGTCTGATCCTGGCTTCATGCTATCGCTAGTCACCAACCATTGGCCTGTTCTGACAGAACAGCTGTTTGTTTCCCCCTTACGTTTTTCTTATGCAGCCGTATTGCCTCTAAAACGGCAAAAGTCCTACAACAGTCATGATGCATTTCTGCCTAGAATCCATCTTTTCTATCTACTCAGTAACTCTGCATGTCAGATCTTCAATTCTTTTCAGCTGTAAGTAAGAATTGCACAAAATCCTTTTAACTGATCAGATGAGTTAATCACATAGCCATACTTTAATTAACTCCTACATCTTCCCCCAGTGATTTGGCTGTGATGAGTTCAGACTCTAATCTCCTGGAGGCATGGACCAACCCACTTTGTGCCGAATTAAATGCTCAGTGGTCCTGTGGTGCTTCACAGGGGAAGTAAATAATCACCGCAACAATGAAACACACACAGTCATCATATAAGCTTCAACTTTTTCTTAATAGATTCAGAAGTAGGTATGAAAAACACCACAGTATGTCATTTAAAACTGCAAGAAATTCTCATCTCATCCGTTTACATGTAAATAATAAAGCTAACTTGTATTAAATCTGAAAAATATAAATCAACATGCTTTAATCATTTACTTACAAAACAGGTATAAAACTGAAGCAGTGTGAAACATTACCTTTAATTTTAACTTGGTTTCTTCTGAAATTTAATATAGATTTACTTCCAACCTTTTCTACGTTTGTCTTACTTAAAATAAGCAAGTTTTATTTCCCATATACAAATGTGAAGCTAAAAGTATCTAAAATACAAGTCAAATCAAACGAAGAAAAATTCTAAACATTGTAATGGCCCATTTGATAACTGAAATAGCAAGAATGTTGCTGAAACTGGATGTTTAATTGCAGTGAAAGACAGGAATCAACATAATGTCATGGTAAGTATAACGCAGACTTTTAGTTACGGAGAAATTTCATTGTTCTCATTTTTTTGAGACCAAGTTTAAGATAGTACTCACCAATTCTTTCCTAAGTTGAATAAAAAATTGTTTGCACTTAAAAGAAATTTTTACAATCTTCAACCTAAACGAAAAATAAAATCAGAATATTTAAACACTTAGTATACAGAATCATGCTAAAAAGCTTCAATACAGCTACCGAAAATATGCTTTCTAGAGAGAACAGATTTCAGTTTGATTTCTATGAAATTTACATAGACAGAAAATAAGATTTCAATGCTTATATAACATCACTTGCATAATTTCAGATTTATAAGCAATACATTTCAGTTACCCATCAAATTCACTTATTATTTCAATCCTAAACCCAAGGCAGTTGCTAACTTACATATTTATTTACCAGCTCCAAAAACCAAAAAAACCTATTCTATACCCAAGTCATCCCAATGTGAAATCCTCTTCTCTGGTGTCACCCTCACTATCCCTTAGAATATGATATAATACTTTCAGCTCCACCTGACAGCTGAAAGACATTCTTTCTCTATTCTCTTCCATGTTTCTAAACGTAACCAGAAGCTGCTTTAGCAAAATATCTGAGACAAGATACGAACATGAAGTTATGTTTAAAGTTCTTTAAAAAAATCAGCATACTAGCATCAGGAAAAACATTTAAAATATCAAGTGACAGGAAAAAAAAATGTCTACAGACCTCTGTGTCTTGCAGGTTACCTATAAGCACATGAGAAGCTAACAGTAATTCCAGACAATTTTGGATGGTCACTATAATGCTATTTATGCTAAACGGGAAAAGATGAAGTCATGTTCTCATCACAATCTAATTACATCCTTCTTCAAAGGAACGTAACCTGTGGATTATGCATGTCCTTTGCTGAATTTCATACAGGAATATTTTGCAAGGTTACAACTGTAACAAAACCCACCATATTAGCTTATGTAGATTTAAAAAGGAACAACTGGTATGATACTGCAAAGTGTAAAATGCTAAATTTATATGCTATCTTACTCAAAGGTGATTTTGCTGACACTTTTCATGAAATTCAAAGCAAAAGAATCTAGATCATACAGTTAACCTCAGGGAAATTAAACAGCAAACTCAGGCATTACAATTAGCCGTTTATACTACACGTTTACGCAAAGCACTGTTGCTAATCCAAACTGCCATTTCTGATGGTCTCTGTACTTCAAATTGTTATATTGGTTTAGTAAAACTAACAACAAAAAAAATTATACTATGTCAGCAAAGTTAGTGATACAACTTTTGAGTGAACCAACTTACTCGTGCAGATTATACAGAGACCTCAGAAGTGACTGGAATTCCTACGTGCATATCAACCTCCTTGGTTAAGACAAAGCCCCTCTAGACTGGAAAGGTTGAGAAGCGTAACTTACATTAAGAGATACCTAAGCTAGGTGTCTATATATAGATATTATCATTTTAACCAATTTAAATGGAGACATTCTTCTCCAAGGGAAAATGCAGAGCAGGAACCTTACTTGGGTGTCCCAGTTTGTTGAAAATTTCTCTCTCCAGTAATATAAAGCGAGTCTGCAGATATTAGCCCTTAAATGATGCTTAAAGCCCTTTTTCCTTCTTCTTTTCCAGCTTTGCCTTTAGTTTTAAAAAAAAGTCTTTTTTCTGTATTATTGTAAATTCTTTATAACTTGTTACTTTTGGAGTTTGTTTCTCAAGGACTAGGATTTATAAAATGACTATAACTTACCAAACTATTACACTGGCAATGCAGCATTTTTCTAGTACCTCCTATGACAAACAGTTACTTAAGACTGGTTAGAGACAGGTCCTAAATTTGCTGAATGGGAAAGTCACTAGTAATTATAGCAGTCTTTGATGGCACAAAGAGGAAAAAAGTAAATGGCAGCCTAAATAGTTTAATGTAAACAGATGGAAGTTTTGGGGTAGAGTGCAATTAAAAGAATATTTCAAATATATTTTCTAAAAACTGAACTGCACACACTCTACAACGCATCAAAGCTGCTTAGTGGGCTGCCAGAGCACCTGAAAACAAATCCGTATCATTCTACTCATAAAAACATCCTATTGCATTTTATTCATCTTTTTCCCCCCCCCCCCCCCCCCCTCCTGCTACAGAAATGACCTCTTTTGCTGATTTAGAGACTCAGGAATGAATGACAAGGATGAAGGCTTGACACACTTTGTTTTAAACCTATCCCATAACTTAGACAAAGCGAGGTCAGGAATCTCTTGAGCCTGAAGCCATTTGGAGCAGACTCACAACAGTAGCCAGTGAGGTCTAACTCAATCCGTAAGATTCACTATTCAAGCACAAAGAAATGATTCAGCAAAGCCGAATCTCAGTAATTTTCAAAGAATATAGCAGATAAGAGAGAGTCCCTATGCACTGATAATACTCTAACAGGCACTAAATAAGAATATCCATACCTGGTCAAAGCCAAGGTATGTCTACCTATGTTTCATTTTTCCAACTGTGGCCAATGATGCGTGTCCAAGAAAGTGTAAGAACAGGCATTTATGACAGTTTCCTGCTATGGTCTTCCAGTCTCCAATTACCGGTGGCTTGGACACATCTTAAACTACAAGCTGTATCTTTTAAAAATGCAGAGATATTCAAAAATCCTAGACTAAAGTGAAGCCTGCACTCCAACAACTGTAAAGAGCCCCAGGATAGCAGGCCCCAGTTCTCACTGAGGACTTTACCACCCCAACACTTGCTGGGAGGGCATTAAGGCAGGGCGCAAGCAATTCAGCAGTTTTCTAGACTCATGCTTCTTTGACACAGGTGCTAGGTCAGCTAGGGAAGGTGCTCTACTAGAAGCACTACTCACAAAACAGTCAGCGGCAAACAGCTACAGTGGCTGTGACATGGCAGAGTTAAAGATACTGAGGGAAGTGAGGAGGGCAAGCAGCAGACTAAACCACCTTGGAATTCAGGAGAAGAGACTTTGTCTTGCTCAGAGATCTATCAGGCAAAATCCCTTTGGAGGCTGCATTGCGAGGAACGTTAGCCGAGGAGAGGTGGCCAGCCTTCTCAAACCAGAAAAATACTGATGTGCAAGAAAAAGTGTGGGAGAAGGCCAGTTTGGCTGAACTTGAAACCCCTGCCTGCGCTCAAACACAAAAGGGCAGCATACAGGATGTGGAAGCAAGAACAGACTACCAAGGAGGAATACAGAAGTGTCACCTAAGCCTTCAGGGACAAAACTAGGAAGGCAAAAGCTTGGCTGGAGTTGAAACTAGCAATGGATGTGAAAGGCAACAAGGCTTTCCGCGTTTAGTGGTCATTTAAAGACTCTGAGTTAGAATAAAGTTGACATTTCCGTAATACTGATCCTGGCCATAAAATCAATTAAACAAAAAAATATGCTTACAAACACCTGAAAAAAAGTATATTAAAATTAATTATATTTTCTACCACAATCATTTAATGGCATGGCCCGCAGAATAAGACAAAAACCCATTCATAAAATCATCCGTTGCACAGCATAAGGTAAAACATTTCAATTTGATACATTACAATTAAGTTCCAGTCTTTTTTTGTTTGTTTGTTTTGTTTCATTTTTAATTTGTGACACTGAAAGAGGGAAAAGTATGTTCTGAAATAATAAACAAAAGCCTCTGCTTAAACAGCTCTGCTTACCATGGAAAGGTGTTAATTCGTACTCTGTTCTTATAAATTAGTATTCCCCCTGACATCACTCCAATCATTATTTCATTGTTACTCTGATCCTTTAAAAGAAAAAAGATAATGTCTTAAAGAATAATATAAATATTACTATCCATAATATTTATAATAGCTATTTGTTTCCGCATTATATAATTCCAATTATATAGTATTTCATAACATATACATTATACATGGTACATTATATCATCTTACAATACAGTCACATTATATAATATTTCACAATATATAATAACAACAATTTATAATTTGGTTCTAATCTAAACCTGACAGACCTTTAAACATCAAAGCGTATTCAAGAAGCATGCTTTTCTTATTCACTGAACTGGTATTCAGCCTAATCAGGCTTAACCTGAATAAAGCACATACTAATATGCCCAAATATAAGTAAATAAATACTCTCAGTAGAGTGAAAGAGGGGTTATTCAAATCGACAAGTCTCATTTTGGCACCTTATGAAACAATGTCATTTTCAAACTTTTCCTCTCATAAAGAGCGGACGAAGCAAAAAAAAAAATTCCCATCAATCTCAGAGAAACCTACTTTTACTTGACAGCACTAGTTGAGCCAAACTTACCCTTGCATAGTGCAATTCAACTCCATAAAGTTCTAAGGTACGCGCTGTATTGAGATAACTGAACTCTGCTTCTGCAGGAGACAACCCTCTGAAAGAAAGAAGCTAAATAAGAAACATTCTAACATAGACATAAACCCACTCCCCACCAGGCTCTTTAATGAGCTCAAACAGGCAAAAATCTGCAATGGTTTCACTGTTTTTTCCTTGGAAATCTCAGTTTCCACTCACCATAAAGTGACTGTAATCCAAAAAATTTAACAGAAAATACTTCTGCTTCCACATAGACAAAGGCTTAAAAAGAGTCTGCAACACACAGTTTACAAACATACACGTTTTACTTCTAATGCACTTTATCATTTAAAAGCCTGTGGGGCTCTGGAAAGTAGAAATTACTTTCGCAAAATTGTATTTTGCATCGATAACAGCAATTTCTCTCCAAGACTCATCCTTCAAATTTAAATCATCACCAACCCACTTTAATTTTCTTTGCCCTACTTAATTGAATTTACTAACCCATTGACTGAAATGCAATATAACACTCAACAGTTTGTAGCGCCAACACCACATGCAAATTAGGCAGACAGCTTTGTAAACACAGTCCAAATTTTGTTAAACTTTACTGTAACAACAAAACACCTAAGTCCTAGAATACCAAGTAACCATCACTGAAACAGTACCACTTAATGTTACACATTAAATATATATGTTTATATATATTTTCCATTGTTTCATCACCTTTTCCTGTTCAATAAAAGGTCACAGAATTGCACGCAGGAGAGATCAGGTATTGAAGAAAAGGACTTAGTTACTTCTAAAGTAACTCTTGTCTAATGGTAAGAGCACGATGAAAATAAGGCCTTTATCCAAACAGTTTTCCCAATGATCGGGGAAAAAAAATTAAAGAAATTACTTCCTATTAAGTTAACATCCTCAAAATACACTCAAATACTTTCTTCAGTGTAGGTTTAAAATATTAATTTATTCACTAAATTTTCCCTCTCATTCTGTCATAGAGGTACTATCCGTGCAGAGTATCAAAGGTGCTTATTATACAGACATTCTACAAAAGATATCACATTACACGTACGTCTTCACAAGAACCTTTAAGACAAAATATTCATTTTGTACACAATAGCACAGCACCAGCAGGCAGGATTTGACAAAGTCAGTATCTTCTGCTGTAAATCCTTACATGTGCTGCTGATGTAATTTTGCTATTTCTTTTTCAAAGTCTTGAGGCTGGCTAGGGATGAAAGAATAGTCTGAGAGGTAGCCTGGCAAGTTTTCTGAATGGTTGTAGTCTCCCAGCTCGGCTAAAATATTAAAAAGAGAGATTATTGTTTATCGCTGATGTATTTGGCATTGTGCAATGCCCCCAAATTCCCAAGCGTCTGTTCCCACATACTTTAAGATCTACAGCAAAGAAAAACACAGAAGATAAGTGAACTCTCCTTTTCCCTTTTGTATAAATCAAGGTACATTGTCAATGAATACATTTCTGAGAGCTTTTAGAGGGTGCTTATGAAGTGAGCATTTGAAATGTTTAACTGTTAACATATATATTAATTCGTAACTGCTGTCATAATGGCTAGTACTAAATAAATATACTCCAACATATTTCAGGTATTTGTTTTTTTGTTGTCGTTGTTTACCTTTGCTTTCATGTAGCTATGAATATTTTATTTTCACATAAAATTGCCATTTCTTCACTAAGATTTGCAAAAACCACCGATTCATTCTGCGCCAAGGCATTTTTCAGAAGCGTTAGAAAAACATTTTTCGGTAAATTCAAATGTATGTACGGAGAACGAGAAAGCACACGTACATACACCTACTGTTTACTTAAAACTACTGAAATGTGCATTTATAAAATTCCTAATAAATCATTTCTAAAAATTACAGGAAAAGAATCAAAATCACATTTATTGTCATAATAAGTCAAAAATATACAAACTCAAACAGAATTTGCCAAAAAATACAGACTTTGAGGCCATAACTATAATCGGAAGAAAAACCGTTCTAAATGTCAGTAATCCATATAACAGATCTACGATAATAAATAAGTACCACAAGAGGTGAAAATTGCAAAGTTCACACCTACACAGCAAGGCCTGGGGTCCTGGGCAGGCTTACTGACACTTCTACGGGGCATGGAAGAAGTGACAAAGAGGAGGGATGAAGGTGCTCATGGACGGAGAGGATAAGCCAGGGAGAGGAAGTCGGAAAGAAGTCCGCAGCACTTGCATTGCCAGAAACAGAACCTCTGGCAGATCATTTAAAAACTCCAAACGGGATCAGGTTTCCTAACAGCACGTACGCCTTACTACAGAGGATACACAAACCACTCAGAACTGAGCTTCGCTCACTTTGGAACTCAGGGACACAGAGACCTCAAATATAACTGCAGTGCACTGCACATACCCGCTAGGGCTGCAGCACCTTTTTTCTATAGGCATATCACATTCTTAGAAGCTAAAAACGTCATAAACTTTTCATAATGCCTGCTTCATTATCAAATGCTTGGTCACTTGTATGGTGAATCGCTAGGGTATGGCTTTTATTATTTTTTTTAACAGGACTAACAGCGCATAGCTGTTTCCAAGCAGACAGAGTTGGGGTATTTTGTTTAAGAGTTTTTTTCTATTGACTGATCTGGAAAAAAGACAAGCAAGTTTTCATCGCCTACCAAAGCTATCCATGCAGTATTACAGTAATACTTTTATACATTTTTCCCTAGAAAGATTAACCAAGACTATTTCTCTGACACAAACAGAGCATACCTATTACTAAACGCAGATACAAGAACCTTCAATAGCAGAAAGACACATGAATACAGGCAGATATATGAAGATTACATGTAAAAAAGATTTCTGACGATCACAGCTTTGAAGACTAACCGCTGAAGAGTCACTTTCTTTTTTCCATTAAACAGGAAAGAAATATTTAGGCTTTATGAAAGAAAAATGGGGGGAGAGAAGGAAGATTAAACATCAGTCCTCAAGATATAACTACCCCAGAGAATGGCTTAAAATTGGCAACACAGGTCTCAAACTTTTAGGCCAGACATGACCAGAAGTCCCTTTTCCACACCTCTTTGAAGGTTCACTGTACAAGATGTCTTAAAAATGTGTAAGTGACTAAAAATCTCCTTGGTACCGGTCTCAGAAAGAACTATCACGCTGCAGAACGCAGAGAAATGCGAGGGTTTTGGTTTGGAGGCTTTCACTTTTGACTACATGGGTTTCAGGGACGAAAAGCACAAACAAATACTTGTCGCTTTTATATTTCACTCAGCAAAAATACAGGCTGCTGGAGAAAGAGAGACCACTTTCCTTAATGACGGGAAAAGTAATATCACATATGTGAATATAACAAGATAATGTAATATAAACACATTTAATTATAATTATTACAGTTCATTATATGGGAACTAAACTGATCAGTAATACTGCTTGTTTACTTCAGTACTTAAAAGTATCTGAACCGTAATTATACTTACACTGAACAGCATAGGAAGCCAAAAGAGCAGCAGTATTATAAGGACAGGGCAATCTGTTTTTTTGTTTTGTTTAAAAAAAAAAAAAAAAAAGAGAGAGAGAAATGAATAAAATTACACATTTCATATGAAATACGGTTAATTTGTAAAAGCCTAATTTTTCATAGTCTATGAATGCACAAGTTGGATAAACAAATTATTATAAACACTTCAATTTGCACGAATCAAACAACTAAATTGTTTTAAGTCTATTTGTTTTGTGGGTAAAATCCTTCATCATTAATTTAACAACTTTTTCCTCAATGAAACTTGCATATAATGTTTAAAATAAGTAAAATGCCTTACCTTCCAGTAAGAATGTCCTGCTTAATTTGCAAAAAATACTGGTACCTTATTTAAAAAAAAAGAGGGGACTACAATTAAAAATAAAATCATGTTTCATCAATTTAATACATTTTCTCTCCAGTTAAGCCTTAAATTTTGTATGCTATTTCTTAAACTCCTAAGAGAAAGAAATTAAACTGTGACTAGTAAAAGAATAATATAGCTTTGTAAATTAAGGCTATTAAGTTATACATTGTATTTCACTAAAATGTTGCAAAATTTAGTCTTCACCTACTTTATATTCTAGGATTTATGTTCAACTTATAGTTTAAAATAATGAAAAGAAGATATGCCTTTGATGAATAAATGTGAAAAACAACTATTCAACCTTGCAACCGAAAGTCGAAAATTGCATCTAGCTATGCAGGCAGCTTAATAAGAATGATTTCTAGTCAAGGAAAATAAAAAAAATTAATTTACTCTCATTGGGTATTTGACGTTATTTTAGTTTGAATGAAAGCAAAGTATCCTTAATTCTTTGGAGTAACACTCTGAAATAGTAGTTGTGCATTCTTTTATGTTAAAAGCCTTCTGAATTTTTTTCTGACTTCCCTTGAACTTTTGAAGTTTTCTTTAATTACCACGTAAGAAAAGCCTGGTTTAGAAGTCCATCTACTCTCCCCACGTCCACCCTTTCAAGGAAGGAAGGAGTGGGAAGAAGCAAAAGGAGCAGAAGAACATTTTAAAACAAAATATGTTTTCAACAGAACACAGCAGCAACAGAAAAACAATGACTTAAGAAAGAACCAACAAACCTGAAAGTGTAAACATATTTTTCTAAATATGTGACTTCCTTTGTGTTTCCAATAAAAAAAACAAGTATTTTGTTAACCTTCAGTATGAATCTTTTGTTCATTCAATTCAGTTCCCTCTTATTTCACTCAAAGGTTTTCGAGGACTTCAAAGAAATACAAATGGTGATATCAAGTGATAAATCACACCTGCTACAAACCACCACCGAAACAGAGACTGAGCTGGGGCAACAAATGTGACTTTTACTGAGAGGGCGTGGTGTTAGCACAAGCTTTAATTTTCACCAAAAGAACTTACAGCAGGGTATTAAAGCCGCTTTAGACTTTTTAATGCTCTGATGCCTTTTTGTTAAAAAATATTCCACTGATTGAAAAACGTATGCATCACTTTTGCTTTATTGCAAAATAATTCAATTTTGGGACCTGTTACTTGATTACTATAAAATCAGCTATTTTCCTTCTTGAAGTTTTGCTTTGAAAGTCATCAGCCATACTCATTCACCATAAACACCCATAGAAACTACTTATCAAAAATTCTCATATCAGGTTTGACTAAAACTGAACACTAAATATTTCCCAATATTAAGTTGCACTAAGCAAAAAATAGGCTATATCTCTGCATTATACATAGTATATGTTGGAGTTCTTACATTCGTTTAGACTAAGATTCAGCATAACCTTCAGGAAATGGATTAATAACCATTTGGAAGAATCCAATCAAATCATTTACAAGGTAAATGTCGTAAAAGGTAAATGAATTGTTACAGCTAACTGAGGTAAAGGGCTAAATTTTAATTTGATGATTGAGATAAAAAATGAGGAAAACACTCTTGCAAACCGACCGAAAGTGATACGTTAGCCCTTGTAAGTTTAATTCCTCCAAAAACTTCTATAGGCTCTTTAATAGGCCAAAATTGGCAGCGACTGCAGTTTAACATATTAACCTGAAGTTAAAGCTGCGACATTAGCCAGCTTCAGAGACCTCAAAATACTTTTTCATTTTCCACTTTAAAATGTACATGGATGCTAAAAGATAACTTTCTTTAGCAATTACAAAAAGCAAGAAAAGATAAGTTAAATGTATATATTAAGAACATACACTGCATGTACTTAGCTCTGAGTTTCTCTTCACAAATATTTTGACCAAATCAATGCTTTCCACCGTTAACATTTATGGCTGCAAAAACGTCAGAGAAAAAAATTTGGATGTGCAGACGCACTTCATTTTTCTTTTGTTTTCATTTCTGTGAAAAGTTGTATTAGAAATATTCCATGGTCCATTTCAGGGACTTCAGGAATGAGCATGAATAAGCAAGCAGAGTGAGCAATTTGTGCTCACTGCTTTCTGCGCACGGTGAAGTTAATCGCTTGTTAGCTAACCGTCCTATTTCCAACACAGAAGCCTCACATATTATGGAACAAAATGGGAAATCAACAGGAGTTTAGCAATGTAGATCCAAACAAGTACACACAACAAACTCACTTAAACAAGGCAGATGACATTGCATAATAATGTTTTCACCTTCTTTATATATTTCTAAGAAGAATAAGAATTGTTATCTGTAGCCAATGTCAACAAATGAGTAGTTCTGTTCTGCGAAGAGCAGAACTAATGAAGTTTTATTTCCTACTGATACAGGTTCTTAAAGCAAAACCCTGCAGTCCAGGGCATGCTGGCACTGACCCGTTCCCGGCCTGGGCAGCCGTGACTGCTGCTCTTGCAAGGATTCTCAGGGGTCTATTACGCTATGAGATTGCACTGCAGCCTTTGCCTGAAAAGGTATTAATACTGCCTCTCAGGCCAACTCATTCCTCTCTTTTCACGGAATCTGCAAAAAACGACCATCTTTGAAAAGTCTCAGTTTGAGCTGGAATTGTCAAAAGGTGGGTTTTGGTTTTTTGGTTTTTTTGGGTGGGTGGGTGTTTCGGTTTTTTGTTTTGTTTTGTCTTTTTAACCAGAGGGAGTACTGACTATACGAAAGGATCCCTCATTAATGACAAGGCATCCTAACTTTGCCATAAAATCCCCCACAGACAATAAAATTCTCTTTACAATAATTCCAAATACAAACTAGTTTCCTCATGGGCAATTAGGCCTATTAGCAAAAAAGCCAGAGTTGACCCAGATACAGAAATCATACAGTATTTCTCCTCTAAATGGATGCTGTATCTACAGTATTGTATTTACAGCATAATATTTAAGTATACAGTTGTCTTACTTCTCCGTTTACTTTACACTGATCAATCTTTACTATTTTTTCCATGTCTTCAGAAATATTATATATTATATGTATTTGAATTATATATTAATTCAAATGACACTTCTATTATTTTTGAGGCAGTAAATTGCCAAATTCTCTCAGAGTAAAAATTCTAATAAAACAAAGACTTTTCCAGGCTCTCTGGGACTCATTTGAGCAAATTCAGTCTGCATGGGTATGAGTAAAATTTTGTAAAAATATGACAAATCAAAATAAGCTGTAAACAAATGTGGATTACATTTCACAGATTTAGTGCTTTAGATTTCTAAGTCCATCTTTAATCATTTAGATATTGTTTTCTAAGTGGGGCTGGCCTGTTTTCAGAATAGTAAACACCTATAAATTTCAATCTGCTTGTTAAATCATTCCACTTATACGTGGAGAACTAGGACTAATTAAGAACATTGAAATTTGGAGGGATTCCTTCAGGGGCTAACTGCAACTCACAAACCTCCTAACTCAATTCCTGCTGAGCATTTTCTTTAACAAGCTTCAACACACTGCTATCAAAATAAGTTTACATGCTCCAGCTAGGACTACAATCATATAACCAGAGATTAATTTTATTAGTGCTAGGCAGCAAAGTGGAAAAAAAGAGATCAATAAAATTATGCGGAAAACTCAGGATGCTTTTTAACTCCAAAGGAGGAAACAAGGTAAAAATAAATTTGTACTTGTAGGTGAACGGTGAGATTAAGTTTTTCCTCTTTTGCTCCCTATTTTCCCTTTTCTGTTTCTACTTGAGTAACATTTTCACGTAGTTACTCAATTTTGCATATATATTTGTAAAATTAGTCACACAGGCTTTTTATTAGATTGATTTAGTATAACTGCACAGTCCTTGCCTTTATTAGGCAAAAATTAGAAGCTTGCAAATACTAAACATGAGCTCTCTAAAAAAATGTTTTATTGATAAATAACTAGACCTACCTTGTATATTCTTCTTGGAGCTTGTTTGGGTCACTTACAAAAAACTTGACTCTGAAGTTCAGACTGTGAGGAGACCCTCCTAGAATCAAGGAAAATATTTCTAATTAATCAGGTTACCTTGGGAAAAAAAAAAAAACACTGTTAATAACGATATTTGAATTGACCGAATATACACATGTACTCACTTTTTAATTGTTTCCTGATAGGTTTGTTTGGATCCAGCCACCTCTGGAAGAAGACAAATTACAACACTAACTTTAGAGGAACAAACAATAAAGCATAAATTATAGCCTCATGCATCAAGAAACCGTTGCTTTTCTATTACTTTTCACATGATCTTATACCAAAATGTTCTACTGACATGCAAAGTCCTTCTACTGCTCCCACAAAGACACCACCGTTATCATGAACGGCTGCGACTGTTCTGCTCTTCTTTCCCTGAGCTTAATCTCCCTTGCCCAGACACCCAGCTAGAATTCAGCAACAGCGCTGTTTACAGATATTTAGCTATTCTTTATAAACTAATTATCAGAGCTAAACTAACTGTTGGCAGCGGAGAGTTATAAAGCGGCTAGCTTGCCCGACCCAAACGCTGATTTGCTTAAACTCATTCAGTCACTTCTACTCGGCATTTGGCAGGGCTGACGTAGCACTGAGCGAGCCTGCCGGCTCACAGCTTCTCTTCAGAGCATCAGTCCCAGTTTCAGCTCGGGTACATCACAAACCGTGACCTTGTAAATTAAGAGACTGAGCGCTTGGCCTACTGGATCGAGGGCTACAAAACAATTTTACCAAACAGGAACCAGATCTTGATTGCCTCTACCGGGGAACAGTGCTACAGGAAAGTACAGATACACCTTTACAGGTAAGGCTACTGCTGCAAGCACCAGAGAGCAGCGCTGCACCTTGTTCAAACTGCTCCCCTTTCCCAAGCCAAGCAGACTCTGTGCACACCTCGGTATTTTAGCCGACTCGTAAAATGATGTAAACAATTTAGCTACCTGTACATCCAGCCTTTGAAAAATACTGTTTGATTTCGCGTCCTGTCTTGCGGTGCAAACCACCACCCCAAGAAACCTGCTGCACGGCACGTGAGGTGACCGAGTCCTTCCTGCCTGCTATGGCCCAAAACGACCTCACAGTTATCACAGAGCCGGGCGGGATGGGAGGAAGCGAACAAGCAGACATTAGTGCCCAAACCGCCTGACACACACCACGGAGCTGCGGTTAGCTCTGGGCGCCCTCTTATTCTGTAGCGATAACAAATGAAGCTAACTAGATGCAAACGCGGTACCTGTGTAGGTGACTGAAGAGGAACTAGAGAGACTGCTTGATAGAGGTTACTGCATGATTATTTTAAAAAACTCACGCAGAGGACCAATTAGCATTATTTAAGGCTAAATGGAAAGGCTTAAGCAAGGACTCTCCAGCTATCTTGTACAAGAATCTTTCCAAAAGTGGTAAAAAAAAAAAATACTTGAATATCTTTACACAGGGGTTATGATTTAATATATCCGATGAACACCCAGATTAACCGACAATCCTTTGATTTGGGCTTGTGGGCAGTACTGTTTGAGATTACAGTTAATTCTGAAAACCTGGAATTGAAACGTCTAACAGAAAAGCTCTTGTTTTCTCTTCCTTCTGGTTGTTGCAAAGGTCAATTTAGTATGTACTAATGTAGTTCCACCCACAGAAGGGTAACCTTTTTTCAACAGTATTTGACAGGCAGAATCCGTGCTTTCAAGTCACGCTGTTGGATCCAGATGTAAAACGTGCCTTTCTCTCTAGGAAACCGCACAGGGTTATACCACCTAACAGAACAAAGTTGACAGGATTTTGGCAGATGTACCAGAACCGTACGAGCCGAGGTGCTGCTAGCGAAAAGGTTATCCTGTTTTTGTCCAAAACCCTCAGTAAGACTGAGAGGTAGGTATATTTGGCAGTCGATGAAGTTAAAGTGAAAAACATTCAGTGGCAAAACCTAGACTCTGGCCTTCCCTTGAATAGAGCGACTTTTGCCTGGCCTAAATCTGTCTTCTGCTGCTCGCAGACCCTCTGCTAGCCCCAGGCAGCTCGTTCATCAGGCACTCGGACAGTTATTCCTCACCCACCGCATATATCCCACTCATCTCAAAATCCCAGTCACAGTGTGAGCAATTTATGATTCATTCCAGCTTTCACCTCCTATTATCTTACCAGCTTCCCCATACCAGCATCATCCTCATCATTTTTGTCCAAGCTTTTTACTGCTCTCAAGGACTACGTAAAGAAATGCAAGGCCAGACCTCTTACTGATAAGATAGCAGATGAACTACGTTGAAAAACAACCCCCAAAACATGAATCATGCCTCTACGGACCCTCCTTTTATGAGGGTACTTCCATGAGCTTAGAGATAAACTGGGATTCCTTGTTACTCAGCTTTGGAGAACATACCTTCAAACCAAACTCCCCATGAGGGGTGCTTCCTCTCAACTTTTTAAGAGGCCTAAATACATACCAACTTAGTTTTATCAGTTTATATATAATAATGTCATTTCAGGCAGCAAACGTGGAAGCTCATGGTTGAGCTGTCATGAGGAGAGTGTGATTCTGGGATCGTTACTTCAAGCCCAGATCTATTAGGTGTTTTTTTGGTCAAAAAGTAAAGAAAAATTAGAAGTACAATTTAAGTATGGTTTACCTCATCTCCAAATTCTTTTGAGCTAGAGTAACAACGGAAAATGTACTCAGGCTACACTCCTTCCAAATCTCAAAAAAAAAAAAAAAAAGGAAAAAAAAAAGGAAAAAAAAGCTTTTGGGGAGCTAGATGCAGTCACAAGAACAGCAAGTTTTGCAATCCAGAGACTAGCACAGAGTAAAAGGCTGGTATGTGGAAACAAAAAAAAAAAAAAAAGAACTTAAAACTAAATTTTGCTGGTGGTTTTGATTTTTTAAGTAGCTAGAAGGTATTAAGCAGCTAATTTTACAAAGCAGACTACAGCTATATGTTTATACTAACTACAGATAAGCACAAGGGACTTAAATTGTGCTGCGTTCAAGGTAGGTAAAGATTATACAAACCGCTATTTTTCAGCGACAAGCAACAATATGGAACTGAGGGTCTTTTCCCTCCTGCGTCCGATAACTCAATCCAAACAGCACTGGCTGTTTACCAGCCTAAATGCGTATACTAAACATACACGCAAGAAGTGGGATGCTTGTAGACAGTCACCGAGAGAACTGCAGGGTTACGAGAGGAACTTTTTTTTTTTTTTCCAATCTAAATACTTACCTTTGCTAGCTTTTACTTTTGGTAGGTTATATTAAAAAAAAAAAAAGAGTAAATTTTTTTAATATATAAACTCGCCTGTTTTACCAGCAAAAGGTATTAAAAGTTATCTGCATAATTAAATACAATCCAGGCGATTAAGAGGGAGAGATCTACAATTTAGAACAAGAGCATAAAAGAGGCCAGACTAACTGTCAAAGCTGCAATATTACTTCTTTTAACATAACATTTTTTAAAATAGAAAATTAATATTATAGCAAAACATAAAGCTTGTGCAATTTATGAAATCCGCTGTTAGGCACAGTGACAGAGTTTTGGCCCTCAGTTAGCAGAATTCCCTTTTCCCCAATACCTTTATGTCCTGCAGTACTTGCTACCTTTGTAACACTCCACTGTGCTATTTCGTGAATAGCCAGAATATCTGATATTTCTATCTTTTCTTTTTTCTTTAGATGAACAGAGTATAAAGGTAAATCAGTATCAAATACTGAAATTAATCATAACCATAAATTCCACAGCTTCACAGAAATTTTATCAATACTAGTCATATTTAGCTCTGACATACTGTTTCATTGCAACTGGATATTTGCTGGCAAGCCAAATATTTAAGTAGTCAAGGAATACTAAACCTTTAGAATATGTGCTTATCAAATAGCTCTGAAACCATCCTTCTTCCAGAGTAATTCCTAACCAGTTGCTTCTATTATAGTGTTATGTTCTGCTTCCAGGTCAACTAAAGAAGCAAGCTCAGAGGTCTAAACTTCGGAAAGTCAGAGAAATGAGAATGACAAACCCTGTACATTTCTGAACTTTTGAGTGAAATACCAGATGATATTCGGTTAAACGACTTCTAAACAAAAGTTGAAAAATAATTCAGCTTTTTCTACAACATGCCTATGTCTTTTCAGCCTAGGAACAAAGTTCAGAATACAAAGATTAAATAAGACTTATCTCGACCATGTCTTATCAGAACAGCCTACAGTTACAAAAGAAAACTCTGTTAATACTATAATGTGCTACAAGCTTTACACATATTATTTATCTTTATGTTACCAAAAGGCTAAAGAAAGAATATAATTAAGAATAATTTGCTCCAGAGAAGACAGACATGTGGAAGTAGTCTACTAATCAGGTAGAAGAAGAAGAATGGCAGCACTGTAACTTCTCTCACTCTCCTCTGCAGATTAAAAAAAACGTAGAAGAGAAAAAAAATGTATTTCTTCTATTTCAGAAGAGTGACTCTTGGTGATAAAACAACAGTAGTCCCCATTTCACTCTTATTGAAGAGGAACATTTCATTGTCTCATCATCTTCTGAGACTTACTTTGGTAAGTTACTGTACGATTAACACTTTACACTGTTAATTATCTCTATAGATCACACTGCATATTTTGTGAACAGAAATGACGACTTTTCACACAAAGGGTGGGAGATAAGTTTAGACCCCATCAGTTTGGCAAGCCTATAATGGGAATTAGGTAAAGAACTGTATTATAAGCAATATCCTATAGTTAAATTGCCCTTTAAAACAAGCATTAAACATTTAAGACTTGTTAAGAGAAACAATCAAGAAGAATTCTGTGAAGCAACCACGATCTAGCAGTGTGGCTATAACAATATTTTAGCCATTGAACATCACAGCTGGACCCATCAACTCCTACTGGAGGAACACAAACTGATTTACAAAGTTCCAGTCATACGGAAATACCATAAAGCATATGAGCCACTATAAATGTGCATTTGCAAGACTGTCCATTTCTTTATCTCTTAGGGTGATTAACTGACAGCCTTTGTCAGATGCTGGACTAGACGAAGTATGATTAAGAGATCTACCAGGTATTTGGACTAGAAACAAACACACCTTCTAAACGATCTAAAACTAATTTAAAAATTAATTAGTTAAAACTAATTTAAATTAGATTTTAATTCTAAAATCTCATTTTTGGTAAGTCATAATCAAAAATGAGTTACTATTTCTGATCCTAACTGACGATGATCATACAAACTAGTTAAGAGATAAAACAAAACAGATGATATCCTTTTAAGGTACTATTTCACAATCACAAATCTCAATATTTTCACTCCAAACTCACAACTATTAAAAATTAGTTTTAACATAACTACAAGGTGATACTGACCCACTCAAATGACACAGTTGGAGAAGATGGCACAATATTGCAATGGCTTCTATTACTTCTCTTTACAATGACCCAGAGCACAGTGATGCTCTTCTAAAGTCCATCACTTGTGGAGTCCCATATTTCCACTTCAAATATCTACATGAGAACATGTGGAAAATTCATTAGCAGTCCCAATTTTTCTGGTGAATAGTATGCTACTGATACCTAGATCACTGGTATCACAAAAATTTTTTGTTTGTTTTCCACATGCAACCACACGAAATATCACTTTTAGGACATTTAAATTTAACACCTAATTCAAATTTAACTGAAATAACACTAGTTGCAGCACTGCTATACTTCAAGTGCTACATTTCCATTTAAACGATGCAATCACTTTGATCAAAGTAAAGACTTGGGATCTTGTTTAATTCTTTTCTAAATCTACACAACCAATGCACCATAACTTGCAAAAATGCCTCTCTAATTCAGGATAAGAGATACGTTTACATGGTAGAAAGAAAGGATCCTAACAACATAGCACAAACGATTAAAACAAAAGATCCACTGGCTGGGGGGCAGAGGGTGCAGAGCAGAAATCTCTGTAAGCAAAGAACAGATCTTGGTTAAACGTCTCATATAAGGTAAACATCAGATGCTCGCCTCTTCCTTTCTACGGATTTGTTTAAAGACAGAAAAAGGACTTTATCCCAAATTTTCCTTTTTCACATAAATATATTTAAAGCAGTAAACTTTTCATACTTCCACTTATTTAAGAACAGCTAGTAAAGCTCCATATTCTAAGATAATCATCTTGAAGTGCTGCTCAAAGGACTATAAATAGCATTTCACATGGATGCAGAGGTTAAACACGAGCAGACCAAAATATACGTGTTACCAAAAAAACCCAAAAAACAAAAAAACCCCACACCTCTCCCATTGCAGTAATGCCTAAAACTGCTGTTTGAATTAAAACTTCAGTTATTGCATCTGGCCCTGCAAAAAGATTAAATGCTTGAAAAACACCATCAAATGTCCTACTTGCACTAGTGGCAGGCTTAAAATATTAAGTCTTCAGTCCTCCCCATCTAAGCACCATCCACCTTTTTGTTTCAGTCTTTGTCTCTTTCATGTATTACTTGAATGCTGATTACTACAATCTAATTAACTTGGATAGTTTTCACAACTGCCATTTAATTAATTCACCTCATCTGGCTGATTCCTTATGTGAGCTGATTTAACTCTGCCTCCATTGTTTTTTCCACACAAACTATTTCTTTTCTTATTTCATCATTCTCCCCTATCACTTTATTGTTCTAATTTTTGTTTCTCAATTAATTCTGCTCCACCTTTTAGTGAAATAGTCTCCTATTCCCATGACTGTCTAGACTATCAAATTATCGATGAAAATACCATTCTCAAGTGCATTACATAACCATATATTGAAACCAATGGATAAAAAAGTGGCATGAGGAGCAAACTGAGCAGTCACGTTGTCTTTATTAACGAAGCTAGTCTTTTGATAACCTTTTGGATCGTAAGCTCAACCCACAATCACGCTCCATCCCCAATGAAAGACGACAGCACAGCTTAAGGTGCCATTTACGTTACAATTGTGTAAAATTTTACGTGTAAAAAAAGCCAAACTCTGAATAGATCAGTTAAATATTGCTCCTACTGCTATTGTAACCCTGCAGAACAAGCACTGAAATGCTAGTTTAAACAGATGAGAAATAAACAATAAAAAACTTGCTAAGTTTTTAAAAAGCAGTTTCTCTCAACTCCCAGCAGTTTTCCAGGTGAGCAATAAATAAAACCGTACTAACAAAAGCCAAGAAATCGGCCACACTCACAACAAGGGCCTAGCTCGCTTTCCTCCCCTCCTCACACCTTCCCAAAAAAAAACAAACCCAGATGCAGTTCTCTTCAAAGCATACCCGTGCATTCTTATGTCATCCACATCTAACCAAATCAAAAACCCAGGGTACTTCTGTCAAAAATGTGAGCTGTCTGAAGGAAAGAATTAGAATTTTACAATTATGAGGTCCCTGCTAGGCAATAAAACACAGTCATACATTACATTACATACATTAAATGAGCGTGAAAAATATGATTTAGAAAACAGATTCAACTTACAGGGTTATCAGTGGGTTCATCAGCCAACTGTAAACCAAAGTAATCTCTCTCTGTCAAATCGAGATGCTTGAAGACTATATCCAACAGAACGTGTCCCTGATCATGTTTCTGCAGAGAGCAAAAATATATACCGTTTTTGAACAACACACATAGCTGGATACAGACTTCATGCAGGCAGAGCGCATACACACTCTTTCAGACGTGCCCAAGCAATCTAAATTCTAAATATCACGAAACGTACCCCAGCAGCACTATTTTTAAATGAGCTCCATTTCTCTTGCTAAAACATATGCAAGAAATTATTATTTTTCCTCTTGTCATTTTCCTGACAGTAAGAATTTCTCACTTCTCAGTGAAATCACATGATTATTCCTGAAAGCCATTCATTAACCAAATTTGAAGTTGAAAAGGAGGACTGAAAAAATTGAAAAAAGGGTTAGAATTTGACTTAGAACTTAGTAGCCTCATTTAGGCCATTCCGTTACCATTTAAAAGCACAATTTTTCAGGCCTGTACATGTTATTCTTACTTACTTTATCTGAAAATCTATTCCTGAATCCAAATGAACCAGCATACTGAAAATGCTTCCAGAGTTAAATGGCACAGATAGCTGAAGCAGCCAAATACCTAACTGAGAACAAGTGTCATTTGAATGTGTTTTCCCGGAGATACTACTTCACTCTAAATGAACCAATTCAAATAACTGAATATAAAAAAAATAACATTTATTTTCGGAGACAAAGGAACGAACTTGATTTTTACCGCACGGCCAGACCTTATCCACAAAATGATATAAAAAGCATCTGCACAGTTGAAGGTACCTAGCAATCTTTTGCCTAAACTGAAAATATTGCTAATATAGTAATTTAAACATCGAGTGTGCCATTACGAGAGGGCTCAATAAATATATTTGGTGAAATCTGAAGGAGTTTCCCAAAGAAGCTGCAAAGTTTCACAGCTTCTTGAGGAACAACAGGTGCAAAGAAATGCTGCAAGAATAACTGTTAAACAAGAAAAATGATGAAAGATGACTGATACCTTTTCCACCTAGGTTTTCTAGTTCTCTGGAACCAATCACACTCAGACATTGTTTTACATTGAAGAGCATCTTATCAAAACTCAACTTTTTACACTGCTGAGATTACACTGAAGTTGAGTAAACTGGCAAAACCATTTACTTGGATGCCAAGAACTCAGAGCAGCTTAGTAATTTATTTCTTAATAACAAAGAGCAAAAAGGTATTAACAAATTATGCTTAAAAGGATGACAGCAGGGCAATCGTAACTGTAGCCCTGCATATTTAAGATGAAATTACATAAGCCGTGCACTTCAGCTCCTGTGTAAATGTGGCTTAAATGATATAAGAACTGTTTTATTTACTTTGAAAAAAGATTTCACTTTCAAAAATCACATGGAGGAAATTGCTTCATGTTTAATCAAGTGAACAGTTAGAAGGAACAAGGTTGTTAAGAACTTCACTACTGAAAAATTTACTCTCAAATAATTAGAAACAAGCTAGGAAAAAAAATAGACGTTAACATAACAAATACATGACAGCATAAACATGCAAAGCAATTTTTATGTACAATTCTAAAAATAGTTACTTTGATTTCTTACTAAATTAAGGGTTTCTGATATATTTTGAAACAAACCAGTAATCACAGTACAAATCGTTCAGCAAATAAAACAAATTTTAAATTACATAGCAACACTGATTGCTTCTTGGCACTCTTCCCTATGTAGATCTAAATCAGAACTCAAACCAGCAACTTATGATAGTAACTTTCAGAAGAAGGGAGGCATTTACATCCAAAGTTTAGACTGACATTTACTACAGCTGATGTTACTTTCTCAAGTAACACGCAGGTATCAATTCCCTAAGTGTTTTTTTAATCTAAGCCTGAGCATTTATATTGTTTCTGAAATACCTACATAAACGTTTCCTAGTGAAAGGATCTTGAAAGCTTAGGACCTGCTGATCAGTTTGGATTCAGTAGTACCGAATGTCATTTCGTATAGATAAGAAAGCTGGGACTATGAATGGAAGTCCTGTTAAAAGGCAGAATAAGTAGAGTGAAAGGTATTTCTCCTGAAACAGAGTGGCAAATTTGGGTAAGAGACAACAAGTTTCAACATGTAGCATTTGTTTTGATCACAATGTTTTACTCCCAGTACAAAATAAAGATAAACATCTAGTAAAACCAGACCTCAGATTAACCTATCTTGGATATTTATATAACAATGTCGCAACTTGTCAGAGCAGGTGAAGGTCACGATCCTGTTTGTTGTGAAAGGTCTGAAATGGAATTTGTAATACTGACATAATCATTGAAGAGCTCTCTAAATTATACACAATACAGTAAACAAGTGTCTACTTTTTCTTTTTTTTAAATAAAAAACCAAAACCAATAAACGGAGATTTTCATAAGAAACATGTTATATTCATACAGCTGGACTAAGGTTAAACATTAATACTGTATCTGAAAACAGAATAAGGAAAACACAAGAACAATGGGAAATATCTAATATGAAACTGCCCACTGCAATTTAACTAAACCGTTTCACAACTGAATGGTGAACAGTTAGCGAAGAACAACTTAATTACTAAGCAGTTGAATATAAAACTTATCAACATTTCTGCTGAGTTGGAACATTAGAATTTTATGCATACTTAATATTGGTAATTGCTACAGGCAGCACGTCTAACAAATGTTGACCTTTCAGAACATACTGGACATCAACACTAGACATCAATAAATTAGCTGAACTTTATGAAGTATCTATGATCCAGTGTCTAACATCTAGTGTCATTAAATATACAAGTTATTTCTATCACAATATTGGTTTTGGTTGGTTACAAATGCACTTGCTTGAAAATTTAAGAAAATATTCACGATTATGTAGGCTTAACGACTGCTTACCAACTAATTGCAATCTTCTCAAATTGCATCACTGACGCTCTGTTTTTGTTGCGAGCCCAAAGAGCAGAGTGCAATTACAACAAACACCAGGAATGTAGAGCTTACTGCTGCTGTGCCAGTCCAAACAGGATTGGACTTCTCTTGAAAGAAAAACGGCACGTCAGGCCATGGACATTTCCAGGACTGCAACGTAGCCACGAGGGGGTCAGGCAAATGCTGCTGCACACAAAACTGTGAGTGGTTGCCCTAATACTTCACTAATGGCATTACTGACATCCCTCCTCTCTCACCTTACTGGAATAATTCTATTGTAAAACAAACAGATGTACTCCACGTAAACAGCCAGAACTGTATTATTGTCTCTGTTCTATAACTTACATGAACTTTTCTAAAGTTATCTTACTTTAGGAAAAAGTTTCCATGCAGGCTACTGTTTTCTTTTTCGTGAAGAAAGAGAGAGGAAAAAAAAAAAAGTAATGCAGATTAAATTATTAGAAATTTTCCCCTTCTAAAATCATGCTTGTTTTTGACAATTAGCTTTTTACGCCTTATTTCCATCGCATGGTAAATGTATTGCTTGGGGGAAGCTTCTGAGATAATAAAGGCTCCAAAGCAAACCTTTTGTCCGTAACTGCTAACTCTCGAGCCTTGCTCACAGAACAACTCATGCCATCTATCTTACCTTAGTTTTCCCTTAAGTTTAATATTATTTCTGTGTCTACAGATTGGCTTTCAGGGAACACATTTAAGTCAGTTTGTGAGGCAAGGATACAACTCAAGGTATTTAAACAATTAATTAAAAGAAATTAAAACAATTTGACCTTGGAAAAGCAAGTTTATGGTAATGCAAGTCATCCTGATCATTTTATTAACTCAAGTCAGTCTCACTTCTTCCAACTATGCCTTTACGTAACATGCTTTCCAAGGTGGAAGGAGTAGTTCTTCATTGGGTAAGCAGAGCATTTTCAGATGGTATTTCTACTATTCATATATATGCACAGGTTACTTCCTACTGACTCTTCTAAATTACTGTCTAACTACAGCCTATAGGGATTATTTTATTTGATTTGGTACATCCTATACAATGTAATGTTTAGCACAAAGAATCCCTATTTTGCAGATCAATGGAAGAGGCTGGTTGAAGTGTGAACTTAGAACAAGCCATCTAAATTATCAGGAGACATTGCCTGTGATCCATACTTTGCTCTTGGAGGAGAAAGAATATTTGAGCAGATTTGTATTGAGACAGAACTGCATACTTCAGATGATTAAGCTTCATAATCATTAGCATACAGAATACCTATAGCAACCACCAGAAGAAAAATCTTTGCTAATTTATTCGATGTTATCATTGTTCTTCCTGTTCTGAGAACAATTCCATAAATATTTATTGCCAAATACCGTCAACCACAATAAAGTAAAACACAACAATAAACCCTGAAAATCTGTAAAAAGTGTAGTAGGTTAGCATTATGTTTGCTATGATTGAATATTTAACAAATTTTTCTTTAGTCTCTATTTTCTAAAAAAAAAAAAAAAACACACCAGACTGAGGCTAAAACAGGAGAAAAATATGTTGATCACCAAGGAACTTTGTATTTTCTAAACTCAATTTTAATAGAAAAACTTGCAGGCTGGTCTATCGAACCTATCAATGGTGATCCATGCAACTAAATATTCAGTATGCAAGAGAGGTGGGTAGAAAATTTTACCCAGATTTTTCTCAAAAGAGCTGGAATAGAGGTTTGAGGATTTATGAGTGGTTACTCTAGACAGGCACTATAGCAGTTCTCTTAAGAGATATGTCCTTTGGATACCGAGATCACAAAGAAGTGGAACATCCCACAACTACTGGACTACAATTATTCCTTATTTTAGCCAACTAAAACAAACAAAAAACTTCCATTAAAGTATCTGTCTTGCAGACTCAAGTACCTGAAAGCAAGGAACACAACATTTACAATTTCTCATGCAACTTGAATGCTTTATCTTCAGCCACATTCTGCACGTATTGCTTTTTGGCAAGCAACGCAGTCTGGAGATTTGCGTTAGCAAAGATGTGAAGGTAAGTGACACAGAAGCGATACAGGAAACATTACAACAGAAAGGAGATGAGGCTTTATCACGGTAAACTAAAAATCTTTGACGGTCTCCCCATAATCCGAGATAACTCACCCTTCACTATTCAGAACTCCTGCTTAAAATAGGCCATAAGAATCTTCTGAAATAGCGCTTGAATGGGCTGCAAGAAATACCTCAAGAGAGCATCCTAAAACATTCTACTTGGACCAAAATATCTGCTCTTACAGTTAGGAGGAGCCTCTACGCTACCAAAACAAAATAACCACCAAGTCTACCGCTGGCTTCAGCCACTAGCTACTGCACCCTTGCATGTTTTTGCGAGATAACTGAGGATCTGGTTCCTCTGATGGGTACTTGCAGGCTGCCCAAGCTCTAATAAGCTGAATACAGAACAGAGAAACTCAAATCATTTTCAAATCTTCCCTAAAAAGCATTCAAATTGATCAATATCCTCACTGAACAGTGGACATCAGAACTCCATATGATTGACAGCTTTCTCAGACAGCCTAACTTAAACGTGTTCACACATATTTGAAAACTGTTTCAGCTTCCCCATCACCTCCCAGTTGCATCCTGTACCCTTGGCTGATATCAAGCCACTCTTTTACCCCACTCTGTGGGGTTCTTCAATTTTGTCTTGAAAAACTTTAATAATCATGCTACCTGTAACATCTATCACCACACTATTCAACGTTTATCTATACAAATGATGAATTCTTTGGCTATAAAATAAGAGATGAGTTCTAGGCTACTAAGGGCACCCCCCTGCTACTTTCCTGGTGACTTCTGGTTCCTGACACAATTTAAGCTTTCACATAACGTTTACTTTAAATCCTCCGAGGTTTTCTTGTGAGGGCCTTGCCAATTTTTTTTTTTTTTTTTTTTAAGAAATTCAAAGAACTGGATGCACACATATGTACACATTCATAAAATCACAAACATTATCATTTTAATTCATCAGGGATTACAGATCCGAAAATCTGATGAACATAGCCTATTTTAGATGCCACGTCCACTTGTCAGAAGTTACTCCACTTCCCTAGTAATACTCCTCAACCTTCAGCAACCAGTTTCCTATTTTCTTCCTGCCCTCCTCACTAGTGCATTAGGTGGCGGTGTGTTTAAGGGAACCCATAGAACTAAAAAAAATATAACCTGAGAGAAGCAGAGAGCAAAGGGATGCTTTGAGATTATATCTGTAACCAAATACAACCGTACACATGATTAAACATGATTAGCTGCACAGTCAAGAGAAGAGTTGCCATCATACATGATACTCATGCTCAAAATGCAAAAACCAGAACTGACTCAACTGAACGGCAAAAATCCTCTCAATTTCACTACACAACACTGAGTAGCCAAAGAAAACTACTAGAAATAAACTACATTCTGAATATTCAATTTTTAAACAGAGACGTGTTAGCATTATGGAGGATGCCAGCATGATTAAGTACACAGTGACTAAATACGTACGTGTACAGGCATGCCTGTTAGAACAAAACTTCCCCTTCTACTCTGTATTTAACACTATTTTGAGAGCCCAACTCTAGACATACAAATCCGGTAAAGAAAAGCAAGCTCCGAGTGACATTGATTTGCAATAATCAAATTACCTACATTAACTCTGAAAGCTTGTACAGTGTTATCCAGGAGAAGAACGTTGCAGACCACCTCCGTATGCTGCCTGTCTCGTGCCAGCTCAGATGCTCGTACATTGTAGGTTCTGCCAGCAGGCAATCGGAAACGTGCGGTCATTACTGTCCACACAGGGTCTTTAGACAAAACAAAAATAAAAGAAAAAAATATTCAAGAAACAGAAATGCAAAAAGTGAAGGCTTAAAAAAGAAAGGTAAACCCACAGTGAGTCCACTGTTAAAAAAAATCCATTTTAGACAAAATAAACACGACCAATAAATCCATGGTATCTAATAAGCTAATCTAATAACGAAATGCAACACCTTACAAATTACAACATGGCCTTATTCCAAAAAACCACTGTCCTTTACTTACTGCCCATTTTCCCCTCCTTACTAAGTGTTTTTGGGGGGTTTTCTTTTTAAGATTCAGAACAGTATTTTCACTAAGAAAGCACCGTAATTGCTGTGCACATAGCATCATGGCTACTAGGCTCCCAATATTAGAGGCACTTAAATAACTAATTTCAGAGCAAAACAGGAAAAGAAAAGCTTACACCAAGAAAATCTTTAGAGAGAAAAAAAACATGCAGAAAAGAAAAGAGCAAATATACATACAAAGACTTTGATGTCTTATTCTACAAGGCCTGCGAGTTCACCGTATAATTCAGATATCAGACAAGAAAACACACAAGGATGAGAAAAATATTAGTGCTATTTTTGGTTGCTGTTTAATAACTGAAGAGATAAAGGTTTGACAAACGAGTGATTCTTCCACCTAGGTCATCAATTTGATTGGATTTATGTATTTATATTGGAAGCACAAACGATACCTTTTTATTATCCAAACAAGGAACTGGGACCAACACAAACCTGCACCCTGGGCTAAGTGCTGCTACATAAAATCCACAAGTTGAAAACTGATTTTCACTTTTCAAAACTAAGTTTCTAATGATTAAACTACAATCTCAGTTCAGCAAAGTACTTAAGTGCATGCCTTAAGTGTGTTATTAGCCCTATCCAACAACGCTAGCTGCATTCTTAAGTATTATGCAGGATCAGGGCCTGTGATTCACATAATTATACACTTGGTAAACTATTTCTACATCCTTTGATAAGGGTGTGAGCAAATGGCAAGTTTCATAACTGAAATAGAGAATATATTATTAAAACAGAAAATTGAAATACTTTACAAATTAGTAAAACAAAACAGATATTCCCAAAGCTGAAAATGAAATGATTGATTCCCCTATTCTGCAAAAAAATTAAGACGACTTCAAAACTGTTTACACATTTGTTTCTTACTGTTTTGGGGGTGAGTCTGTACTGTGAGGAAAAAAAGAGAATTCAGTCCTGGACAGCAAGTGTTCCAGCAATGATTAGAGAACTTCCCTGGACCAAAAGAAATATGTGTACTGCAATATACACAAATAAATAGCTATAACAAGGAATGAAAAGATAAATCTTCTCCAGAGCAGTTAATAGCTTAGCTATTTAGGCTTTCGTGGGAAAGCAAAAGACCAAGATTCAAGTTGTTCGTCTGAATCAGGAAGGGCTGAGACTTCACAGGTCAGTCTTCTTCCCAGTGCCTGCAGTCAGCGTCCCCTGTGAGGGCCCTAAAAAAAACCACTCAGATATTTTGCTTTTCTGGAGTAGATGTTCACCTTTTTAGGTATAACCATGCGTCCTAAATGTAAAAAAAATCTTTAACGATAATCTTTCCTTGCAAAATGTTTCAGTTTTGACTTAACTGTCATTTTCAAATGAAAATATCTCTGTCCTGACCAGATACAGCTACTGTTTGGCTACTCAGAGTCACTCTAGCTTCCGAACTGCAGTGCTTTTCTTTCCCCATGCAGAACTACAGCAAGTTTTACTCTGTTTCATCGAACCAGTATGACAAACTGAGAAAAGCTAAAGATATCAGATAAACACTGCAGCTACAAGTTGAACTCATGACTTTCTTTTAACAATAAAATCATGAAAAAATTGTATTGCAAACATTAAAACTCCAAAGCAAAGCCTAACAAGAATGCACACGTCTGACAACAACTCATGTAGAGGCTGGTTCCACTATGTCTTCTCAATGCCTCTAAATAAAAGGCAGAAGAAAAACCTAGAGAAGAATACGTAACTGAACCTCCATACCAGCAGCTTGATCAGCATAATATTTCACAAATAATATTTTATATGCCACATAGACATAATCTAAAAGCATCAGCGTCTTAGTAGCTGTAACAATACAAAAATTAGTATCTTCAACAGTGCAGCTATACAATCAACTATAGCTACGATTTTAGAGTCGCGTTGGTCTGTAAGCTGAAGCAAAGAATGTTTCAGAAGAGCCTACCATCTGATTAAAAATAGTTCATCTATGCCACAGAAACAACCTTCTGAAAGGCATATTTTACAAGGATTTGATTAAATGACAAATCAAATAAGACAGTGAAGGTTAACTCAGATTCCTTTCCCATGGATACAAACTACCAGTATACAAAATAGGGATGTCTAACTCCCAAATAAGTATTGCAGTCCATAAGAAGCCATGCGGTAGTGAACTAGGAGGCTCTAACTCAGTAATTCATAATTCAGTGGCAGAAAAAAAAAGAGTTAAAGCTCCAGAAATCATCACGTTTTAAGGGAGCAAAAGGACAAATCTCACCTTTACCTTCTGTTTTCTCCTCCATTTCTGTTTATTTCCTGGCCAACCCCAGTAGTATTTCTTTCTCCCTCATCACTGTCATAAACCAGGCAAAAAGGTTGTGGGCTTCAAGCAGAGCAGCAAAATCATCACAGTGAGCGAGGAAGAAGAAAACATGCCCTCAGTGATTCTTAGAGCCCTGTACTACCCCGCAGACATTTACAGTGCCCCCAACAAACCCAATCTGCAGGCCCAACAAGGTCCTTGCTGTAATCCAGGTGATCTTCAAACATGGACAAGACGACGCAATAGTTGCAAACAGTAATTCAGCTTTTCCTCCGATGTACATAAACGAAACGGTACAATTCAAAGAACAAGGCGCTGTACTACGAGTATTCTAAGAGCACATGAGCAGCTACACTGGGTCAGTGAAAACAAACATCTAGCTCGGAGGCCTGCATCGCAAGACCTTCTCACTTTCACTCTCTTTAAGAAAACGCACACATACTGATATTCCACAACCCGGAGCTCAGAGTCTTCCTGGCGCAGAGCACCACGGTGGACATCAGCATTCATGGACGTTCATTCATGACTGTTTTCTTCAGACTTGTGAGAGCATGTTTTGAACTTTAAGGTGAGACAATGAAGTATTATACTCCACGTCCAACATACAATACGCTTGAAAAGCCATCTTGCATTAGAAGAATTTCTTCCACAAAACTACTTACTGAGTCTTCTGCAGCTACAGAACACAGTTTTAGGCCCAAGTGCAGTAATTCAAATCCTGACATGCTTCTACAAAGTGGAAATGTAACAGTCATGAAAGTAACAGAGAGGAAGGTGACAGAGACAGACTATTTTCTGCAAATGACATTCAAATTTACTTTTTCCCCATATGCCATCAAAAAAAAAAGTGCAAGTATGTAGGGATTACATTCAAATGCGTTCACCATCACATGCTCTCTCAGAAATACGCCTCCTTCTAAAATCTGTCAGGGCTATTACATATAACTGCTTTGCAGCCAATCATGCGTACACCATCCATATTGAAACCGCTATCAGCATACATACACACAAAACGGATGCAGTTGTCAAGCACGGGCAGACCTTGCACGTACAGTCTTACTGTAACACTTATTTTACAGCATAGCTAGTCCTGTAACTGCATCTGTATCATCTTTAGTCCTCCTTTCTTCCAGAATTTTATGCACCAAGAATCCAGAGAATATTATTCCTCCTGATCAGGTATCACTGCTCTTTCTATACATTTTGAAAGTGTATTAGAAAAATAATAAGATGGCTAGCTATTGCATGTGAGGCTATAAATCATGGCTATCTGATTTCCAAGCAAATGCCAACATACGAGATAACAAAACTGATAAAAATTCAGTCACATTTGTTACAATCTTGTCAAATAAGATTTTATTACAGTTAAAGTTAATATGAAGAAAATAAAGGACTGACTTCAAGCTCCAAAGCACAATCTGCAGCCCCAAGAGAAACAGAACTTACAGTAGAAAATTGGATTAAATCAAAAAAGTTTCAGACAAACAGCAACTGGACTTGATCAAGGTACTGCGTGTGCGTATGCATGTCACGGATGGTACCATGGCCACTTACGCTCACTAAAATCTTTTCATATATGCAAGTGGATTATTTAAAGTGGATTTAAATCGGATTAATCTTGGCATATAAAAATAGTCTCTGCTTATAATTTTTCAGCTTCTTCTACTAAGTACGCAATATTTAGACACTTGAATTAATAATCCAAAGCATGTGCTGCTACAGCAACTGGAGAAGTCCTGCAATGAAACTCCGCTTACCTCTCAGGTCTAGGGAGGGAGGCCGTTGCACATTTCCTCCCCATCTCAGGTTTCAAGAGATGAAGCAATTCTAGGGAGTGTTCCCTATCAAAGGGCAGAACATTCCTGTGATACTTGCTTGGTTAGGGCATTAAAGAGCATACGGAACCCTCATAAGGGAATTTTCGGCATCACTTATTCTTTTACCTAAAATAATACTGTAAAATGACAATTGGCTTGGGCTTACAATAAACTAACCAATTTTAAGCAGCTTAATAAATATGAAAGTAGGCCACTTAAATTTAACTTATCTGTGAGTGCAACTGATCTGCTGACCTGAAGTAAAAAGCTCTTTTAAAAAGGGTAAGCATCGTGTACTCTACTCAAAGACGACATCAACCTTAGCACAGCACAGCATGCACACGTACATGCAAGGACATGAAAAATTTTATTTTCTATAGCTAATCTACAGCAGCCAAGAACACACTACATTGCCAGATTAAGAAAACAGCTTTTGGAATGTCACTTGATTCTTTAGACGTTTGTATTTTAGGAACCCAAAAGGCACTAACTTCCACTGCAGTCTTTGGTTTGGGTCCAACGTAGTACATGCATTTCCTACAATGAAGTCAACAGCAGTCACTGATTGTTCGTGATTATCTACACAAACGTGTATTTTAATCAAACTCCTC